GGCTGAGGTGCACTCCCCAGGGGTCCCCAAACCAGTGTGCTAGTCGGCTGAGGTGCACTCCCCAGGGGTCCCCAAACCAGTGTGCTAGTCGGCTGAGGTGCACTCCCCAGGGGGTCCCCAGACTCGCTCAATCGCTCAGGGGGGGCAGGCGGGGAGTGAGGCCACAGGCTGGTCCAGGCTAGGCAGCACGGACAGAAATGGAAAGGAAAGAGGGCCAGGCCTGGTGGTACAGACCTTTAATCCCAGCACACAGGAGGCAGAAGCAGGAGGATCTCAGAGTTCAAGGCCAGCCTGTTCTACAGAGCAAGTTGCAGGACAGTCAGAGCTACACGGAAACCCTGTCTGAAAAATCCAAAATGGTCAATAAATAAGTAAATAAATAAATAAGAAAGAGGGGCTAGGGACGTGCTCTGGTGGAGCCTTTCCCTGCAGTCCTCTGGGGAAGGGCTGGCGTGGGCTCTGGTCACACGTGCACAGCTTTGAGCTCACTTCTAGCATGGCAAAAACAGACTAACCCTTGCCATCCTCATTCACTTGTGGGGAGACTGAGACCTGAACCGTTTCGTGCCTTCTCACAGCTTCTGGGCAGAGTGGGTACTGGCTCCTAGTGCTGCCAGGCAGCGTGCCTGCTTCCCTGCCCACAAGGTCTCAGGGTCTCAAGTCCTGAGGTGGAGCTTTCTGTGCAGCCGGGATGACACTAAAGTGGTTTTTCTTGCTTTCGCCTTCCAAGTGCTTGGCTGAGGTGACAGGCGTGCGTCATGGGGCTAGTCCCTCTCCTCCCCTGTTCCCTCTGGGCCTGTAACCCTGCCTCCCACCACAGCCTCCAAAGAGCCGGGAGGCTCAGGGTGGCAGGCCACTTCCTCTGTAAATATTATGATTCCAGCTGTTCCTCCCCCGGAGCCACAAAAAGCCATCTGGGGTCACACACTGGAACGTTTCCTTCTCCCTTCCAGATGTTTTAAGCGGTGACTGAGATTTCCTGTTAAACACTGTGGGAAACTTTGGAAGCCATACACATTTATAAAGAAAAGAAACCTTTGAGCCAGCAAGATGGCTCAACACGGCACTTGTTGCCAAGTCTAGGACTGTCATGGTAGCAGGGGAGACTGACTCCCCAGCTTGTCCTCTGACACCCCACACCCCACACAAATAAAGAGAATGACTTTAAAAAGATGTGGCAGATACTCGTGCTGTTTCCCTCGGTTCCTGCTCTTCTGTCTCTGGGTTCGTTTTCCTAGGCCCTTAACACACACTTAGGTTTTTTAAAATAGTCTCTGTGTGGCCCTGGCTGTCCTCCGTATGTAGACAGGGCTGGCTTCGAACTCAGAGATCTCCATGTGCTGCTGGGATTAAAGGTTTCCATCCTGGACTCACTTTGTGGTCCAGGATGTTGACAAGCGGACACTCCTGCCTCAGCCTTCCACGTACCCCTTGCCATCAACTGAGCTCCAAGCACTGTACTCGCAGCCACAGCCCAGCGGTGGAGGCGGATGGTCCTTGCCTGACCATATCCCTTAGGCATAAACAGAACCCAGGTTAGGGGCGCACCTGGCTTCTCCTGCACTCCCTGCCCTCAAGCCCGAGTTCCACCAGAGTGGTATAAGACGGAGATGGTCGCTTCTCTGCACCCCCATCCCGTGCGCGCTCCCTGGTGCGGGCGGGAGAGCGGGAAAACTGGCGCCCAGGAACGGGCGGAGCTCGCGCAGCTCGCAGGCTTCTGGCGGGGGCGGCATCCAGGCGACAAGTTATTCTGGTCCCTCCTCGCCTCCGCAGCTGGTGAGGCGGTCTATAAACCAGGCCAGGCTTCTTCCCCGGCACTGCTTCCTGCGGGGATGCAGGCGCTGGGGTCCCTCCCGGGGCGCCCCGGCAGGGACAAAGGACAGCCTGGGAGTCCCACTTTGGCTGGCAGATTTGCAGGAATGCGTCGTGCACGGAAGTCTGCATTTCTGCACCCAGCTTCCCGGGACACAGGGTCGCCTGGCCCCAGGGTCCACACCGTGAAGGGCTTGCGGGGTCTGCTCTCAAACCTTCTCCCACTCTTGGGTCTTTCGTTGCAGTTTTGGAAGACTTGGGGTCAGGACACTTCGGAGTCTTAAGTGCGCAGGAAGCAAGGGGTTCTTTGGGGACTCGTCCGATCCTTTCTTTTCCCTTATTTCTTTGAGACAGGGTTTTATGTGGATCAAGCTGGTGTCGAGACGCCCCGTAACTGGGGATGACCTTGTACTTCTGTTCCCCCTGCTTTCCTCCTCTTGCCGGAATGAGCAGGCAGGAGGCCGGGTTCTAATTCAGGGCTTCGCGCTGCTATGCAGGTCCCTCAGCAAACTAAGACAATATATATCCTCAGCACGTTAAAAAAGAGAGTTCTTTCTCTCTCTTTTGGAAGAGGGTTTCTCTGCAGACCAGGTGGCCTCTAACTCAGAGATCTGCCCTCCCCTGCCTCCTGAGCGCGGCGATTAAGGGTGTGCCACCACCGGCTGACTTAGTTCCCTGATTGTTTCTGAGTGTCCTGCCTCGGGTATGTGTGTGCATGCCCAGGGCCCAGAGCCAGCTCTCCAGCCTCCTTAGTCCAGCTGCTTTTGTTTTATTTTGTTGTTTTTTTTAATCCGGAGAGGGAAGTAGATAGCCCAGGTTGGCCCAGAACTCATTTTGTAGGCAAGGAAGACCCCTTCCTGACATGTCAAGCATGAAGGTGAAAGAAATTTACAGTACTCCTTGCTTGGTGGTGCTCTCTTGACCCTATTCTTATTGCAGCCCAGAAACCTGAGTGTAGGGCCGGTCCTCCACAGCTCTGCCCTAAGTCCCCTTGCTCCCAGTGTGTTTGTGTGTTTGTAACTCCTCCTCCTGTCTCTGTTTGTTTTTGAAACAAGGTTTGACTGTAGCCCTGGCTGTCCTGGAACTCTCTGTATGGACCAGGCTGGCTTTGAATTCACAAAGGTCCGCCTCTATCTGCCTTCCAAGTGCTGGGATTAAAAACTGTTTTTGCCGGGCACAGTGGCGCAAGTCTGTAATCCTGGTGCTCTGGGAGGCAGAGGCAGGAGGATTTCTGTGAGTTCGAGGCCAGCCTGGTTTACAAAGCAAGTCTAGGACAGCCAACGCTACACAGAGAAACCGTTTCTCAACAAACAAGAAAACAAAACAAAAACACTTTCCATTAATGGGTCTTTTGAGCCCTAAAATGTAGTAAGTGGAGTGTAAGCCTGTCATCCCAAACTTGTGAGGTGCAGCCTCTGATACTTGAGAAATTCGAGGCCAGCCTGCCACATGAGATCCTTTCTCAAAAAAACCCCCAAGCTCCTGGTTGCTGTCCGGAACGGTATGGCACGTTCCTAAACCAGAGCTAGTTATTGCTACTGTAAATTCCGAGCCTGGGCTGGTTCCTGGCCTCAGCCTCTCCCGACTTCAAAGACCTGGCAGCCCCGCTGGGCCGCACATTGCGTATGCGAGTGCTAATTGGATGTAGGATCTGTCACTCGAGAGCCCCAGCCAATGAAACCTTCCTGCTTCCCAGGGCTCCACCAACCGTGCCTCTCCAGGACCCGCCCCTCCGGGCCTACGCAGGCCAGTGGAGCTCCGCAGCTGCAGTGCGGCCCCGCCCTCTATCGTCACAGCCTCGTTTGCATAGAAAGTCCCGCCCCCAGATTTGCAGGACGTCAGCGAGGACTGCAGGGGCCCGAGCCTCCGCCGCCGCCTGCAGCCCCGCAGCCGCTCCTGGGGCCCGGTCACCAGCGCCGTCAGCAGGGTCGCCGCCGCCAGCGCTGTCTCAGCTCGGAACCGGCAAGGTGAGCGCAGCCCAGGGCCGCGCACCGCTGAGCCCTCTTGATTGGCAGGCGCGGGGGCGGGGGGAGGGCGACTCCGGTGTAGGGGTTGTGGGTTTCGCATTTGAGGTTCCTCGTCCCGCACCCCACACCCTTCACCATTAACCCGGCTGCTGGGGCCCGGCTCTGCGACAAAGGGGGAGGGGAAGGCCTGGCTTGCGGGAGGCTTGTGCGTGCTCGTTCTCGTGGGTGAACACGCGTGTGCGCGCCCGCTGGGCATGGCTAGGCTCGCGTGACCTCAGGACGCGCCCCATGCACGCTCGTGGAACCTTGTGCGCGCATGGTGCGCGTGCCGTGGGTCTGAGTTCAGGTGTGCGCTCACTCGCATGTGGAGCCATGCTCGTGCTAGGGGTGTCCTGGGCGATGGCCAGGTGCGCACGCGGACACTGGCTGCTGCAGTCGTGATGGGTGCAGGGAGCTGTGCGTTCGCATGGGCTTGCACACACCACGCGTGTTTGCGTGTTTCTCCTTCTCCCACTCTTTTGCGTCCAGGGCAGGGGCTTGGGGCTGCCCGCGCTGGATGCCTCGGTGCATGTACATGCACGCGCGCGCGAGGGATTTTGTGCACGTGAACCTGTGTTTGTCACGTGACGCGGCTATGTCTGGGCCCAAGTTCTTCCAGGAGAGGAATATAAGGGAGAACCGGGGATCCGCGCGTGCTCATGCTCCCTCGTGGGTCTCTAGGGTAATGAAGACGGATGAGAAGGTGGCGTTGGCCTCATTCCTTCAGGATGCAAGGGGGTCTGGCTTGCCAGGGCGCTTCAGGGGTGTCCCCTTCATAGCCTCCTTGAAACCTTGGGCCTGTCAAGGTCACAGCCCTGTCTGTGCTGGGGGGCCCATGTGACATTGGGGTCCTGGTGGAACCAGGGTGCTCCCCACTCGCCCATCCTGTGTGGTCCTCCTCAGGCCCTCTGTGCCCCGCCCCCGCAGATGGCCTCAGCCACAGACTCGCGCTATGGGCAGAAGGAGTCCTCCGACCAGAACTTCGACTACATGTTCAAGATCCTGATCATTGGGAACAGCAGCGTGGGTAAAACCTCCTTCCTCTTCCGCTACGCAGACGACTCCTTCACACCAGCCTTCGTCAGCACCGTGGGTATAGACTTCAAGGTCAAAACCATCTACCGCAACGACAAGAGGATCAAGCTGCAGATATGGGTTTGTGGGGCCAGAGGCCTGCTGTGTAAGGGGTGGGGCTCAGGCACCCCGATGTTCTCAAGGCCCACACTGTGTGAAAAGGAAGCTGGAGGCTGGGGACACCCAAGCTCCGATCTTGCTCCACCATTGCCAGGAAGACAGGCTTCCCATCCAGGGTTACTTATGAATATTTTGATTTTTTCGGGGGGAGGGGAGTTTGAGACTGGATCTTTCTATATGGCCCTGGCTGTCCTGGACTCTGTCCAGGCTGGGCTGGAACACCGAGATCCTGCAGAGGGTCTGTGGGTGTTAAATAGTGCCTCTATCGGGATTAAAGGTGTGTGCTGCAGCCACCCGCCACACACCTCGAGTCCCCTGTTTTCTTGCTAGTCCTGTGAGTCCCCACTTCTGGCACAGAGTGTGGCACAGGGCATTTAGGCAGTACCCAGTATATGTGTGTTGAGTGAATGGTTTTGTAGCGACCACCCAGACCGCTTCTCCTGACCCTCTGTCCCTGAGCTTCAAAGGGGCTGCTTGGACAACCCTTGAACACACTTCCTCAGAGGGCTGCTGGGAGCTCCTGACACCCTGACTTTCCCCAGGACACAGCAGGGCAGGAGCGGTACCGCACCATCACTACAGCCTATTACCGGGGTGCCATGGGCTTCATCCTAATGTATGACATCACCAACGAGGAGTCCTTCAATGCAGTGCAGGACTGGTGAGCAGCCATGCGCTCAGAGAACGAGAGAGTCTCAGATCTTTGTGGCTCAGTCGGTGGGGTCCTCCTAGCTCAGTTGGGAGAGTGCCGGCCTGGCCCAGACAAAGCCTTGACTTCATCTCCGGCACATTCAAAACACAAAGAACAGGAGTTGGGTGGGACAGGCTAGATGGGCTGTGTCCAAGGCTTGGGGCTGTGGAAGAAACACAAAGTGACCAGCAAGCTACACAAGGGCTCGTCTATGTTAGCATTTAAATGCTCTGTCCACCCAGGCACTGGTAGGTCAGGGCTGTGGTCCCAAGTACTCAGGAAGCAGAGCTTACTTGTGTGAGATGGCGCCTGGCCAAGCGCCTGCCTATGGTGAGAGCCTGGATTCCGGCCGCAGGACTACCAACTAATTACTCAGGTCCCAGCCCAGCACTCAGTGGACACGGACACCATCCCAGCCTTTGGGAGGCTGAGGCAGGAGGGTGGAGGGGCCTGAAGAAAGGGGGTTCTCTTTCAAGGGCTAGACCCAGGGACTTGGGGAGAGGCCTGGGTCCTCCAACTTCCTCCTCAGCCTCTTGCTGTCTCCCGCAGGTCGACTCAGATTAAAACTTACTCATGGGACAATGCCCAGGTGCTCCTGGTGGGAAACAAGTGTGATATGGAGGATGAGCGAGTGGTATCGTCAGAGCGTGGCCGGCAGCTGGCTGACCACCTGGGTGAGTATGCGCAAGGTGGCCCTCATCAGGCTAGACCGGCAGCCACATGGGCCCTGATGGACTTAGCGGTGTCTGGCCCAGGAACAAGTTTCTGAACTAGAAGAGAAGGCTGGCTGCAGTGGGCACCACATGCCTGCGGTGGAAGGAGGGGCAGTATAGCCAGCCTCTCAGGGCACACTGAAGTCTGTGCAGCCAGTGGAGCACCATTGCCCTCTAGCGGAAATGTGGCCACGTGCTGACCACAGGGTGTGTGACCCTGAGGGAGGGAAGCGCGCCCTGGGCGGCTCTGGAAAGGGACTGTGGAGCAGGGCAGGGTGGCGGGCGTAGGGGGTGTCTCCGCACCGGGAGTGGCCCCACAGCTCCTCCATCCCCCCCGCAGGCTTCGAGTTCTTCGAAGCCAGCGCCAAGGACAACATCAATGTCAAGCAGACCTTCGAGCGCCTGGTGGACGTGATCTGCGAGAAGATGTCCGAGTCGCTGGACACTGCCGACCCGGCGGTCACGGGCGCCAAGCAGGGCCCGCAGCTCAGCGACCAGCAGGCACCTCCTCACCAGGACTGCGCCTGCTGAGCCCCCACCCCCGCCAGGGGCACCTCTCCCACCCCTCACCCTATTTATTATCATAGCTATTTATTTATTTATTGAGGATGTGCCCTGACGCCCCCGTGCCCACCCTCTACAAGCCCCACCTGCTCTGCTGTGGTGTCGTGGTCACCGCTCCTTTTACCCCCCAGTTTTGTTTTTGTAAACCACCCCATCCAAGTTGTCAGATGTGAAGGGACCAGTTGTCACTCTGCAGCAGGCTGGTGGGCCGATGGGAGGGGGTGGCACCGCTGGGTGGACAGGCTGGCACCCTGCCTGCCTGGGCCTGCTGCCGTATGCTCTCTCTTTGGGGTAGATGGGATGTGGGGATCTACTCACTACTTTGTGATACCCCCCAACCTGTTCTGACGTCGTGTCAAACGTGCCCCCACTTCCCTAGAACTTACGAATACTACACAGTTCAATAAAGCAAACGGACCTTGCTGACCCCTGCCAGCCCCTGCAGCTGCCCCACACGGCAATCCTTGTGATAAAGAGAATTTAATGAAATTTCCACACCAGTGCTCTGCCTCACATCACGATTTCTGAGGCCAAACCAGACCCCATCCATTCCAAGGCCATGTGGCATGTCCTTGGTTTTGGCCCTGGGTCGTCCAGTAGATAACACATTCCAGGTTGACAACTTCATGGTTCCAGTGAAAGCCTGGGGACTGACAGCGGCTGCTGGCAGCTGTTCCACATGGGGAAACTGAGTCTCCTCCGGGGCGGACTTGAAGGGCCAGCCTGGGTTTTGGATGCTTGGACCTGCATGGGAGGGCATCTGTCCCTCTACTCATCTGCTCAGCTCGTGCAGCCTGGAGTTGGGAGTGGTTCGGGGGCCTGTGTGCAGCAGAGGGTCAGTCACCCAGGCACAGGCCGGACCCGTGCTCCGCCCCCAGCCCCTCTTCCCCAGGGCTGAGCTCACCCAGTACTTGAGGTAGGACAGGTATGTGTCCCAGCCCAGTGTCAGCCCATTGATATAGGTGACTCGAAAATGTGAAGGGATGAAGAGGAAATTCACCAGCTGGGCAGCGGGCCACACGCACCAGTCAGCCTGTGAGAACAAGGGTCCGCTGTGAGGTCGGGGCAGCCAGAAGGGCGGGGCTAAGAGAGTAGGTGGGGCCACAAGGGAGGACCATGGGCACGCCCACCTTGTAGAAGTCCCAGAATTTGGCCCTCAGCTCCTGGCAGCTCTCCTCCAGCGTCTGGCCCTCCAGGCTGCCAAGGCCTGAGAAGATAAGTGAATGCTGAGTTGGTTGCAAGGCAGAGGTGGGGTGGGGAAGCGGACTGTCAGTAGGCTGAGTGACAGTGTCCCGGGCACAGCACTAGGACAGGTCAGGGAACCTGAGCTACTTATAAAACCACGTCTGCCTATGCTTTAAGAGGTCATGAGCCCATATTCCTTCCAGAACCTCAGGGACCATCTCGCCCGTGAATCCCGCCTCAGTCCCACCTACTATCCCTCAGGGTTCAGTCTCCTGCAGGTGGTACTACACGTCTGGACCCAGGCTACCCCAAGCCCCTCAGGCACCGTCCTTGCCACTATGACTTTTCCCACAGGCTCCTTAAGGGTTTGTCCCTATTGTAGGGATACCCTCCAAAAGGGAACATAAAAACATAATACGATTGTAATCTCAGCCCATGGGGGCCGAGGCAGGATTGCCACAAGTCTGTGCTAGCCAGGGTTACACAGTCAGCTTTAAATGTCAACTTGACTCAGCCTGGATGACATGAGTCTCAGGGCCTGCACAGGAACGCGTCAGCCTGTGGCATTCTTGTACAGGCTGTCTAATTAACTGATGTGAGGGAGAGCCAGGGTCCTTGGCAGGGTAAAGGCTGAGTTCAAATGAGCACCTGTGCAGCTCTCTCTCTTGCTGTCTGTTACTAGCTATGTGAAGTTCCTGCCTTGATTCTCCATAGCTGTAGCTAAATTAAACCCTTTCTGCTCCAGGCTTTCAGTCAGATTTTAGAAAGTCCGGCGAGGTGGCCAGCATTAATCCCAGCACTGGGAAGGCAAAGGCAGGCACGTCTCTTTGTGTGCACAGCCAGCCTGGTCTACATAGAGCTGTTCAGGCCAGCTGGAGCTACATGGCGAGGCCATCTCAAAATGGTGAGCATGGAAGTGGGCTATTGCCCAGTTGGTAGCAAATTCAGGGCAGCCTGGGTATATGGCACCTCCGAACAGAACAAGGCAAAGCCAGAAATAATGAAGTGTCCTGCTGGGCGCGGCAGCTCACACCTTTAGTTCCAGCAGCTGGGAGGCTGAGGCAGGAGGATCTCTGAGGCCAGCTCGGGCTACACAGTGAGATCCTGTTTTGAAAAAGAAAACAAAAACAAAATTAAAAAGAAAAGACCCTGTCAGAATTCCTGAGCACCGTCCAGGCTCTGAAGGCCAAGTCCCGGCCGTTCCTTACCCAGAAAGTACCAAACGCCCAGTACCGGAGATGCTACCGTCTGATCCACCAGGACCTTCTTCATCACGCTCGGGAGGCTTCGCAGGCCCGAGGCAGGGAGGAGGCGGTCCAGCCACAGGTACCAAAAGTGCAGGAAGGGGCCCATGCTGCAGCCCACCGCGAACATGCTGGCTGCGAACAGTGCGAGTCAGGCAGAGCCTCCGGATGGGGTGCCCGGTCCCCAGGGTGACTGACAGGTCGCATGAAGTGGGTGCCCCCCCTGGGTGACCGACAGGTCCCACAGAATGGGGACCCCCCTGGGTGACCGACAGGTCCCTCGGGTGACTGGCGGGTCCATCTGGTCCGCGAACCCGGCCCTCTTACCTGAGCGCCGCGCGCTGAATCTCTGCTCCGGCCGCGCACGCACCTCCCAGGCCTGTCGCGCGCCGTCACCCGCGGCCATGAGCGTGCCGCAGCCCAGCGTGTTGGTGACGAGCAGCGCGCGGCCCTGGAACAGAGGCCGGCCCGCGGCCAGCGCCTTCCGAGCCCAGTGCCAGCTGCCCGGAGCCATTGCCGCCGACAGCGACACCCGGAAGCCACGGTCGCCGGTGCGCCGGATGGGTCCCCGCGTGAGCCAATCACAGGCCTCGCCGCAGAACCGCCTTGCTCGACACCGACCAATCATAGCCTCAGAACCCCGCCTCTCGCGGGCAGGGACCAATCGCCCTCAAGCGCTCCACTTCCTCGTTCACGCCCGACACGAAATCCTGCGTCGCCTTCCCCGCCCTGGGTTTGTTTTCAGAAGACCAATGGCAAGCGCGCCTGAGTATCGCGGGCTCCCGCGGTGCCCGCCCCGGAGCGCAGCGGCCAATCCGCCAAGCTGGAGCCCTCGGCGTCTGGCCCCAGACCCACAACGCCTCGCGGGAGTGGGCGGGGCAAGGAGCGTCCGCGCAGCTGCTGACCTTGGCGTGACCTTCCGGTGGCCAGCGAAGCCGCTCCGGCCGCTCCGGGACACCGGCTCTCGTGTAGCCCAGGCCGTGTTGACGTGTTGGGCCTGAGCGGCGGAGCGCAGCGTGTGAGGGCTGCCCGCACCGCCGTATCACACGCCTGGGCTTGGAAGAATGAGGAGGAGTTCATGTATTGATCTCCTCACAGCAACTTTGTGTCGCTGCAAAAACAAACATCCTCTCCCTCTTTTCTTTGTGTCACAGGGCGTCCCTGTTCTCAGATGTGCAGCCTGGGAGTCCAGCCCCCGCCCTCCCCCTCAGCCCTTTCCTGAAAAGGGCTAATTTCGTCCTGCAGTGAACACATCCTGCTCTCCCTTGCACCATGATTTCTGTAGGTCCAGTGTGTACAGAGCAAGGGATGAATCTGTGAATTCGTGATCTGGCTAAGGAACTACTACTCACTCTTCAAAACCCAGTTCTAAAATGTGTGTCGTATAGACCTTTAACTCACACGCCCTCATTCCTCCCCCTGGTCCATCTGACTTATTAAACTAGAGATAGGTTTGGGTCTGCATTTTCTTTTTTTTTTTTGGGGGGGGGGTCTGCATTTTCTGGGCGGAGCCTTGGCATCTGAAGGTGTGAAGATCACACCGTTAGTCAGGCAGAATCTCCAGCCACCTTGCCGACCAGCCCCCTGGCGAGGCCATTCTCCTAGCCTACAACCCTCATGCTGTGCTGCCCCAACCATAAAATTATTGTGATCGCCACTGCAGAGCTGTGACTTCGCTGCTGTTAGGAATTGTAATGTAAATATCTGATATTCAACTCCCAAAGGGTTCGCGACCTGCAGGTTGAGAACCGCTGGTGTGGACTTGAGGAGGCGAATGTGGCGGGCAGCACATCCGCGATCCCAGCACTCCAGAGGCCGAGGCAGGCGGGTCTCTGTGAGTCTGAGGCCAGCCTGATCTACAGAGAGAAACCCTGTCTTGAAAAACAAGAACAAACACATAAAAAGGAGAAAGTGGGCGGAACGTCAGAACTCATCTGCCCGCTTCCGGACTGTGAGTTCAATGTGACCTCCGGCTCCTGCCCGGAGTCTGCACACAGATGAGCCCTCTCGGGCCCTTCCTTCTTAAGTTGCTTCTGTGTTTTGTCACACAATGAAAACGTAACTCACAGAGACCAGCACCGGCTGGCTTTTTAGACAAGCTTGAATTCCAGGGTCTTGAGTGTGTGTTGAGCATGCGCAGAGCCCTGGGCTGCAGCTCCACATTATATACAAAACAGAAACTCAAACTCCAGGAAAAGTAAATCAGCCACAGTAATCTAGATGATTTATCCAGTGAACTTAAATTTAGCACCATTGGAAATAAGGCAAGATTCTTGATTATGAGGAGGGCTTTTGAGTCTGGGTTTTGTGGGGTGTGTACAGATTTCTCGTGGATGGACGGCATCTCTTGAAGGCTGAGCAGCTGGGCTTTTTCCTGGGGCAAGGCCCTTCACTTATAGCAGACCTCCCTAGGGGGGTCGGCCACGGAGGAGCAGATGTCTGGCTTCTCCACTCCCTGGAGAGGGGGTAAAAGGCTAGGAGTAGTGGCCACATTCACAGACCCCCCCCCAGCACCCCTGCTGAACCATGATTCTTGTCTGTTTACCTGGTACAACTGACAGACAGAGCTCAGGAGCTGGCTGGTGTCCTTCAAAGGTTTCTGCAAACCGCAGGAGAAGCAGTTAAGCACAGCCGGGTAGCACACAGGCGCCTGGCAGCTCAGCATGGGAGTGCGGAAGCTGAGGGATCGCTGACTGCTCCGGGCAGTCTCGTGGACTGTCGCCCTCATAGGGAGCCTCAGGACACAAAGACTGTTGTGTGAGTTAAGAGCTCAATATGGGGTGTCTTTGTTATTTTGCTTTCTTTTTGTATTCTTTTCTCTGTTTGGTCCCCCCCTTTGGAGTCTTTTCTAATTAAAATATTAATTTTAGATTTATTTATCTTAGTTCATGTGTAAGGTGCACCAAGTTCATGCACTTCCCATGGAGGCCAGAAGAGGGCGTGGAGCCCCAGAACTGAAGTACAGGCTGTGAGTCACGAGGTAGGTGCTGGAATCGAACCCAGATCGTCGCAGAAGCAGCAGGTGTTTCTAAACACTTTCTGCTGGGAATATGCCACAGTGCTCAGCCTTTTACACGGGCCCAGGCAGCGCCGTCGGCCTGGCTGGGGCGCTCTTACCTCATTGACCAGGACCCAGGGCACGTACTGATGGGGCGGCTGCAGGGCGTCGGTGAGCTGGGCGTTGGCGTGCATGAGCTGTGTGCCCCGCTCCCCGGCGGCACACTCCAGGATGCTCTCTGTTGACACCTCGGGAGCGTACAGCTGCAGGCACTGCGAGCGGGGAGGACGGCGCAGCTCGGTCCCCCTGTTCTCCATCAGTGCCCGCGTGCCCCGGCAGGCCTCTCCCCTCCCCACCAACAGGCGGGGCACTCGCTGCGCCAGGGTGGAGGTTCCTGAAGCTGAGGCTAAAGGGTGCGCTCGCCTCCCTGTAGCGCTGGATCTGCAGCCTCTGCCCCCTGGTACCTCATTACCTCAGCGCCTTCGCACACGCTCATCGCTCTGCTGCCAACACCCTTCCTGCTCTTTCCCTCCTTCACTCTCCTGCCCCACCAACGGAGCAGAGTCTGGAGTGCCCCACAGGCTCTGCAAGGCTGGGAGGCCTCGTGTCTGGGAAGCCGTGGGTGCGATTGGGAGTTATTTCCCACAGTGCCCTGGGAAGCAGGAGCAGCTTGGCTTATCTCCTGTCAGCAGTGTCCTGTGTCCACACATACTGAAGATCCCAGGTTCTGCTCAGAGACCTGCGGTTTTCCCATACAGACATGGAAGCTCCCAGGGTCAGGGCCCTGCTCAGTGTCTTCCTTGCCTAGAAATCCCCAAGTGATGGGCTGAGAGCGTGGCTCAGGGTGGGGCCTTAGCCTAGAAATCCCGCAGTGAGAGGCTGGGGGCGTGACTCAGGGGTGGGGCCTTAGCCTAGAAATAACCCAGTGAGGGGCTGGGGGCGTGGCTCAGGGTGGGGCCCGGCTGCTCAGTCTCACTCCACAGTTTACCAGTCCCAGTTTCTTCTCCATGTCCTCCATCTCCTCCATACAGGCGATGGTTACGAAAGCCACCTCCTTTTCTAGCTTGTCCAGCAGGCAGGCCTGGAGAGGCAGGCAGGGATGGTCAGGAGAGGGTAGCCCGCCCCGCTCTCCTCCACAGCCGGTCCATACTCCAGCTCACCTCCACTTTGTTCAGTCTGCACTCCAGCTCCCCGTGTTGACATGTGAACTCCCACGTGCCGCTGACATTTCTCTCCTGTAAGGCACCAATTGGTCTTGGTGAGCATAGGTGACAAGGCAGACCGTTCCCGGTGGCCTCCTGCCTCATTTTCCCTACCTCCCAAGCACCTGTGCGTTCCCGTAGGGCACCAGGGTGACATTGATGATTTCCATAACCATCAGCCAGGTCGGAAACAGATTTCGGACCAGGAAGTAGCGACAGGCTCCACACAGGGACTCATAATAGAGGCTGACATTGACGGGAGGTGCAGAGGGCAACGGGCGCGGCCCGAACAGGCACAGGTTGTGGGCCTGAAGAGAAGAGAGGTATCAGGTGAGGCGTGACCTGGTTATCTCAGGGTCTCCTGAGCTCGGCCGCCCCTGCAGAGGGCAGCCCCACGCTGAACACTTATGGTTGGTTCCGCCTTGTAGCACTGGGAACCAGACCCAGGGGTTTCTTTGTGCATGCTCCTGAGCGGTCTTCCTGCTGCGCCACGCCCCGGGCCCTCTGTGGCTTTCTGGAGTCTAGATTGTGTTCCGCAATCACAGTTTATCTGTAAAACGGAACCTGGCAAGCTCTCAAATAGTAGGCGTTCGGTGAATGCACAGTCCTTGACCACATTCAGTAAGCACTAGGACATATATATTTCTAGCACTCGGGAGGCAGAGGCAGGAATTCGAGACCAGCTTCGTCTATTTAGTGAGTTCTAGGGCAGTCGTAGCTACACAGTGAGACCCTGACCCCCCAAAAACCAAAGCCTCAGGAAAACAAGAAAGAAAGGAAAAAAAAAGAGGAAGCTATGGGTCTATCTAGCTGCTGCTCTCAACCCTGTCTGGAGGCACACCCTGAAGCTGAATGCTCGCTTGCTTGGGTTTTGTTTTATTTTATTTTATTTTTTTTTTTTTGTAATTTTGCACCAATGCCTTTCACCTACTTGCCTCTATTTATTTTTTCTCTCCAGGGACCCAGAGGAACTTCCCCTGGTCTGACTAGACACATGGGTGCCTACAGCACGCAGAGACTTCCGGTTCTGGGGAAGGGTGTTCCAGGTCTGAGCAAGGCGCTCTGCGTGCGGGGCATGCGTGTGCTCTGTCAGAAGCACAGCAGCCCTCCCTTCTTCGGCGGAACCCACACAATAAGCGACAAGAATTGCGTGAGGGTGGAAGCCGGCCAGTGGCTCAACAAGTCTTGAGCAGAAGCCACCGGACCGCCCCCTCTCCAGCCCTCGCTCTTGGCTCAGACCTACACCACAGGTGGCTGATAAATTTTGCTCAGGTGAGGCGGGCAGGCGATAGCTGCGAAACGACGTGGCCGAGGTGCCAGTGCCCAGGAGCTGGAGCGGGGGTAGC